AAATCTAGAGTCCAAGGAAAGAGAAAGCTGAGCTGCATTTTTAATGTCGCTGGTAAGAGTTAACCTCATCTGCCGTCTCTTATCTAGCTGCTTGTAGGTTGCAATATATTGCTTAGTTCTATACCAAAAAGAAAACAAAATCAGAATGTCTTTAAAGGAAGGGAGAAGTTTGGCCATTTTATTTGAAATTTGTATTTTGTGTTTAAAATTTTACTTTCTTTATGAACCAAAAAAGGTGTTTTTTGAGATACTATAACCCTGTGCTCTCAGCTATCTTGCCTCAGTTCTATGCAGCAGGCCAGAGGCTAGCCCAGGCCCTCCAGGTGTTCTGGCCCTCCAGGTGTTTTGGACTTCAGCTCCCACAATCCCTAACAGGGCTGTTAAGAATTGTGGGAGTTGAAGTCAAAAACACCTGGAGGTCCAAAGTTTGCCCATGCCTGGACTAGCAGGAATCTGGGGTGTATAGATATGATATTGTCAAGAATAGGAATATGTGTGAACACGACAAAATATATTTGTACCATTAATGTTTAAAAGAAATAGCTTGAATTTAATGAATAAAGCTCTCTGAAATTGCCTTGTTTATTCTCTAACAGCTAAATTTGGATCTGCTAAATATCTTCGTATGTATTCACTGTATCTGTCTACCAGTACAGAGATAGATAATATTATAGTTTGGGATGGGGATAGTTTGAGATGGGGATAGTTTGATCTTCCAGATGCGGATAGATTGTAGCTTTCAGCACTTCTCACAATGGCTATGCTGGCTAGGACTGCAGGGAGGACCTCATGATTCCAACCCTTTCTTCCCATCGTAGATACACAGTTGTAATCAGTGTTACATGTCATGTTTTGAGCTGGAGCCCTGTCACTAGACATGTGGGTTTTAGAGTCCTCATTAGCATCGTGACTAAAAATTATGAAAGCGTTGACTTGTATTAAGGACCTTGTTGCATAATTTGTGCATTTGCTTTGCAGTTTGAAGCCGAGAACAGAAAAGGAGTGCATTTTTCTGTGTTGTTAAACTGCTTGTACAATTTTATAACTATTAGAAGGAATTCCCCTCCTTTTTTTTGGCATATTGCATACTTACATACTCTCTTTCACTCCAGTGTGGAAAACACTATTAATAGCTGGAAGCATTTTTTTAAGCAACAGCCATTTAGCCACCTAACCCAGAAGTCAGGACATATCGAACATTATAGAAAAGGTAGTGGAAGACATGAGATGCATTTGCTGGCCTCTTCACTTGTTTTTTCCCCAAACAAAAAGTTATTATGAGCTTTAAAACGTGCAGTCAGAAAGGTAATAAAGAACAGCTAATAATTTTGTAGATATCAAATGCCAAAAACTCTTACATTTTTAAGAAGTGGTTTTTGACCATTAACATTGGTAGCTAGCATCTGATGTGATGAGACTTGCTGCTTACCAGTGACATGGCCGGCATTGTGTCTTTGCTTATTACGTTCCTTTTGTTCTAATGGAGTTCAGTCCATGGCATATTGTGGAATAGACCTCTTGGTGCTAGAAAAAAAAGTACACCCTTAACCTGAGTTGTTGCTGCTTTATTCATATCAAAATCCCTCTAAGACTTAAATCAGCAAAATATTAGAGATAATGTTGAATAATGTTGACTTCCAACTGAAAAATTCAGAGTATAGAGAGAAGTTTCGAGTGCTTCTGTGTTGAAATCTGGTAACTTGAGAAATGTGTGTGCATTTCTGTTGTCATCATGTATTACTTAAGTCCACATGCAAGACTGATAATGATTTCTACTGTAGTATGTGTCTATATTAGTACTTAACAGCACCTTTTGGTAGCCAGAGGTTTTATTAGAACCACTGATGTGTTTTGTAAATGCTTTTTGATGGCTGAAATGGGGCATCTTCTGTGCTTGAATCCTTGCTAAAGGACAGGAATTTTTAATTTGTTTGATTTAGGGAGGTATAATTGTATATTTATTAGTATTTATAAATTTTAAAATTATTGCTGTATTGAAGTGGACTGCTTCCTCAACTTTTTCATTTTCAACTAGTAGACCTTTTTCTCTTTTCAGAAACTTTTTTTTTAAAAAAACAAACCATTTAAAAAGGACGTGTAATGTTTGCCAATCCAGAGGAAAAAAATTGCTATGATCCATGAAAATCCTCTTCTGATCTCTCTGTCAAAATGTGAACATAACTAATCTGATTAAACACTTGACCTTTTGGTAACATTTATCCTACTTTGTTGTTTCTTCTTCAGCCAGTGATGTTTTCATTGGTGATTGTCTTATATGTGAAACACGAGGCCTTTAGAACAAAGCACATCATAAGCATTATGTTGCTTAGGGGTTGCATTAGTGATTTAACTGGGTTGTGCCCTGATCCAAATGTGGGTTATCCCAATAAACCTATCAATATCTTATTTTGCTATGCTCATTGACTTCTTTAAAAGAAGGAGAAGAAAGGAGTGAGGTTGGGAGAAACAAAAATATGCAGTAAAAACCTAAGGCCTGAATTATTTGAAAGATTGGTAGAAATAACACAGACCAACAAAAGACATTCTCAGTGTCTTTTTTATTATTTATTCAAATAAATTCAAAAATAGATATACATTTGTAAGTGTTTGTTGCATACAGTACAATACTTTTCAGCTATTAATGTTCCATAATCATTTCTCAGATAA